GGGAGGGGAACACGGGGGCAGCACTGTGACAAGAGCAGCAGCACCTTCCCCAAATCCCCCTTCCATCCCCAGAGCCCAGGGACAGCGCCAGGCACAGCAAGCTCAGTTTTCCTGCTGCTTTTAGGGTGGCACTTTGACAGAGAGCAGGGAAGGGAACAGGGGAGGCAGCCCCTCCTCCCTCCTGCCACAGGAATGAACTTGCTCATAAAACCCATCTCCTTGGGAAATGGATTCATCACCCAGGGAAAATAAACACCGAGAGGCAGAGGGCTGGCAAAGGGAGGGACAAAACCCTTGCCTCGGTCTGTGGGGTTTGAGACTCCTGGCAGCAGGAGATGGAATTAAAGGTGCAGGAGCAGCCTGTGCCCATGTGCTGGATGAGCCAGCAGGGCAGAAAACAAGGCTGGAAAGACAGAGAGTTTTGTCTGGAATTCAGGGAAAAAGGAGAGTCTAGGACCCTTGGAAAAGGGGCAGGAAATTTAGGATAAAGTTGCAGGGAGATGCAGGGAGAAAAGTTAGAGGGAACAAATCCCAGCTGTAATTTAATCTGTCTTCTGCCAGAAAAGAGAATTAAAAATGCTCCTAGAAATACATCAGCAAGAGAAGGATGGCTGAGGAGAACCTTCATCCTTTACAGGGGAAACACAAAGGGAGAGACTGAAGTACTCAATGCCTTCTTGGTCTCAACCTTTAACAGTAAAACCAGTTGTACCCCCTGAACTGGAAAACAGGACCTGATCTCCTGTGACAGGTTGACCACTCCATGGATGAGGAAAAGGCTGTGAAGGATGCCTACCTGGACTTTAATTAAGATTTGACACCTTTTCCCACAACATTCTCCTGGAGAAACTGAATTCCTTTAACTTGGATGGGTCCATTCTTCACTGGGATAAACCTGACAGGGTTAAAAGCCCAGAGAGTGGGGATGGAATAAATCCCAGGGCTCACTTTTGGGCCCAGTCTCATTTAATATCTTTATCAATGATCTGGATGAGGAGGTTGAGTACATCCTCACTAAATTCCTAGACCACATTAAACTGCAGGGGAATGATGACTTGCTGGAGGGCAGGATAGCTCTGCAGAGGGATCTGCATCAATGGGAATGCTGGGTTCAAGTTGAACTCGACCTCCAAGGCCCTTACCAGCCTAAAAGGGTCTGTGATTCTACACCAGAAAGATGCTGGGAGGTTAAGTGGGGGCACAAACACACCCTTATAGTAAATAAACCCTGAAATAAGCTCTGCAAAGCCCAGCAGCTGTGAGGGGGCAGAGCTCACACATCCACTCCCTCTGTGGGCTCTCCTTCCCACACTCCTAATCCCTGACCCTTTTCAAACATTGCGGGGCATTTAGGGACTGAAATCTCTGCTGTGCTGGGGCCTCACCTTCACCTGAACCCCATGGTGGGGTTCCAGGGCTAAGCCCTGACACCCCAGGACAGTGCAAGATGCACCTGTGGGCAGTGCTGGGCTGCAGGAATTGCTGATCAGTTTGGGGTATCAGGCACTTTGGGAACAGCCAGTCCTAAAAAGGCATTTGAGCCACACTTCCAGGTGTGATCTGCACCCAGAGCCTTTTCCCTCTGCTCATTTCCACATCTCCCAGTGCCACAGCGAGCAGCATTTCCAGCCCTGGCTACCCAGATGTGCTCCCAAGAGGAAAAGGATTGGAGTAACCCAGGAGCTTTCTGTTCTGGGGATGAAGCAAAGACAGCCCTGATGTGGAAAGTGTAGCTGCCCCAGCCCCAGGCAGTAGCCACAGCCAGGGCAGTATTTTGTAACAACACCCAAGCTGTGTTTGTGATGTTCACTCCGCCAAGACTTTAAAAACAAAAACAATCTGCTTGGCTAAAGTGGATAAAAGCAGTGGATGTAGGGCCGAGCTCCAGCTGGCTGCACACCAACCCCTGGGGGCTGTGTCCCCTCTGTGTCCCCACCTCTGTGGCAGGGGCATGAGGTACAAGCCAGCAGCACAGCATTTGCTTTAGCCTGCTCTGTTTGCAGGGAGAATTTAATATTTGTCACTGATTTCCCTCAAATGAAGTCACCACTGTGTATTTTATCACTGTGGCTTTAACCTGAGCCGACTCTGCCTGTGTAAAATCCTAAAATCCAATTTAAACAGTGACTCCTGACTTCAAGGCTCCATTTTTAAATGCTTCTATAAAACTATCTTTTTAATATAAAATATTTTAACAGGACAAAGCTTTTTCTTTCCAGCCATGGAAAGGTTTGGCTTTGGTGGTGCCATAATATTTTTTCCTCCAATATTTCTCTCTTTTGATTCCAGCTGCCCCCAGAGCTGCACAGTTAATATTTCACCAGTTTTACTAATGTTGCCTTAGAGGAAAGAAATCAGTTCTTCAACACCCAGACTCCACTGCGAGCTTGAGGTTTCCTCACACTGCAGCTGAACTTTGCAGTACCGAGGTCATTTGTCCAGTGCAAACAACCCAAAATTCCCTTTCCCTTCCACACCCACATGCTCTGGATGCTGGAGTGGGTTCTGCAAATAATCGCTTGCTCATCTCTCAGCTTTGGCTTCCCACAGCCACAATATCTGAAGTAAGAAGAGGAAACCAAAAGAAGAGAACAATTATTTGGACAACAAACCCCTCTCCACAAGTGCTACCGAAATGCAAATAATTCATCATAGTGAAAATACAAACCACAACAGGGATGTGGGCGTGGGAATTCTCTGTGCCAGAGGGTCCTGCCTCAAACTGGTGAGGATTTGAACCTGCTGGGGGCTGTCCTGACCCCCCATCACTGCGGGAAACCTCGTCCCTGTGTGCCCTGAGCATTGCAGAATAGAAAGTGATTGCCAAGAGTCAGAATGCAGGAGGATGGAAAACAGCAGATACGGATCTCTGCAATCGAGAGGTTAATTCTCATTTCCCCTGAATGCTATTTGAGAATGCCAGCCTGTGCTGAGCTCAATTGCACCTGCAGCCCTGGAGTGAGTACCTACATGGAGTGAGTACCTACAAGGAGTGTGCTCCTACACCGAGTGTGCCCCTACACCGAGGATGCTCCTGCCCCAGCTCCACACCTCTCTCACCTCTCGGTGCTTGTGCAACACGAAGCAAACAGCACCAGCTGCCAGCCCTGCGTGTCCCCTGCCCAGCAGCCTGGAGCTGTTTATGTGGCAGTGTCACCATGTCACCTCTGGCATCCCTGCCAAGGCAGCAGGTGAGGGCACAGGCAGGCAGAGGGTGAGGGAAGGGCTCTCAGCCACATTCTCTGTCCCTGCTGCAGGGCTGAGCTGCAAAGGTGACGAGAGGAGCCGAGCCAGTAGCAGGATTAGAGGAGGAGAGAGGTCTTAGAGCTGCTCCTCCTTCCCAGCGCCCTTCTAAAGCAGGATCAGGACCACTTTGGGAAAGAAAAAAAGGAGCAGAAGGAGTTCCCAGAGTCTTGGTTTTACCCTGAGGGGTGTGAGAGCTCCAGGAGTTTGTCCCCACACCTTGCAGCAGCAGTGACACCCTCTGTGCTCCCTGCCCATCCGGGGGGATTCCCTCCAGCCCTGGCGGCATCAGCGCTCGGGGAGGGTCCCGAGAGCGGCCAAAGCCACACGGAGCCTGCCGGGGGGTGTCGGTATCCAGAAACCCCCTCCACCCCATCCCAGCTCCGGCTCCTCCTGCCCCAAAGCCCCTCTGCCTCCTCCTGCCGTGGGGGACTCAGCCCCGGGCTGCTCACTCGCCACCCACCCAGGTCTCCCGGGGCACAGCGACCCCCACACCCCCAAACTGACCCGACAATGCCACCAACACCCCCGTGGTGCGGGGCAAGCGCCTGGAAATGCGGGGGCTCCGCACGGCTCAGCACCCCCGAGCACCCCCCCGAGCATCCCCCGAGCATCCCCCGGGACTCCACGGTCCTTGGAGCGCCGAGACGTCCCGGGAGAAGCTTTTCCTGCACTTTTCCTGAGTATTCCTGGAAGGACCCGGCACTTGCACACACTCCAGCTTGTCTCTCCGGCCCCAAATCGCTGCTCCCCTCCAGCCAGGGACTGTCCTGTCCTGTCCTGCCCTGTCCGGGGACACCTGGCAGAGCCAGGACAAAACCCCCTCCGCACCCAGCCCAAGTGACCTGCAGCCGTTCTGCGGTCGGAGCGGCGCTTCCAAGGTGCCATGGAAAATCAAAATCCTCCTCCCCTCCCACCTCGCTGTCATCCGAGCCTTGTAGTTCAACAAACCGGGCGCTTTACAAGCTTTTGGTTGGACGCAAAGCGCTGGGCTGTGATTGTAGCCGCGTGTCACCCGACTTCCCAGTGCCACATTCCTGAGTCCCACAGTCACAGCCTCACATTCCAGGCAAACGCTACGCTTATTTCTAGTATTTATTTTTTGGTTTTTTTCCCCCTGCAGAAAGTCCTGGCAAAGCCAAAGCCCAGAGAGCACTGGCAGTTTCTGGGCTGTGATCAAACTGTCCCGGCAGCGCCGAGCCGCGCTCGGCCCCGCTCCCTGCATCCCTTCCCCGCCGGCTTGTCGCAGATCAGATCCGGGGGTTTTGCCATCTCCGCACACTGCCGGGGCTGGACAATCCTGCCCCCCTAGCCCCTGGTGCCCTCCTGGCCCGGAGGGCTCCCACAGCCACCAGTGGGGTTGTGAGAAGGGGACCGGGAGCGGTCCCAGCGGTGCAGGGGGGTCCAACCCCGCTTCCAGCAAGGTCATGAGGTAGTTCAGTCCCAGGCCAGTTCAGTCCCGGCCACGGCCAGAAAGTCCCGTCTGGGACGAGCATTCTGCAGAGCCTCGCATCCCCCACCCCCTAAGGGACCCCCGGCTGGCCCCCCAAACCGGGGGGGCGCTGCCCGCAGCCCCTCCGCCCTGCCAGGGGCCAGCCCCGCTTTGCACACTTTGAGTTTGGGCTTCCCGTTCGGTTTTAGGCGCTCTCTATTAAAGAATCACTGCTGTTATTTATCAAAGGAGGTTGATTTTCCTCGGAAAGGCTCCTCTGTGCGACCCCCAGAGCTCCCAGCACCCTCCCCGCCGGGCACAGTACCTTTGCCGTGCAAAAAGTCCTCGGGGCGAGGGAAGGAGCCCTCCTGGCAGAGCAAGTGGCAGGTTTTATCCGTGGCCAGGGGGTAGCCGTTCTCCTCCTCGTTGTAGTCGCTCCTGCCGTTGCTGTTGGAGTAGCCGTTCGCGTACATCTTCAGGGCGGACCTGCGCAGGCACAGCAGCTCCTGGAAGGCGTACCTGAAGTCGGGGCTCCGGCAGTAGATCAGGGGGTTGAAGGCAGAGTTGATGTAGCCCAGCCAGTTCAAGAGGATGTACACGTACTTGGGAATGATGTTGTCCTGGATGACGTGCACGATGTTGACGATGAAGAAGGGCAGCCAGCACAGCGTGAAGGTGCCCATGATGATGCCCAGGGTTTTGAGGGCCTTGTGCTCCTTCAAGAAGAACTTGGAGGAGCGGCGGTTCCCGGCTCCCCCTTTCTGCTCCTGCTCCTTGTTCTGGGTGTGAAACCTCCCCTCGCTCCTGTCTATCTTCTGCAGCTGCTTCTTGGCCACCTGGAAGACCCTGGCATACACGAAGACCATGATGACGAGGGGCACGTAGAAGGAGATGATGGAGGAGGCGATGGCGTAGGCTTGGTTGGTGAAGAAGTCGCAGCACATCTCGTTCTCGTAGCAGCGGATGGCGTCCTCGTGCTCCGCCCGGTACCAGTGCATCTGGATGGGCAGGAAGGAGGTCAGGCCCGACACCACCCACACCACCAGGATGACCACGCGCGCCTTGCCCTTGGTCAGCAGGCTCTGGTACTTGAACGGGGAGGTGATGGCGAAGTACCGGTCCACGGCGATGACGCACAGGGTCTCGATGCTGGCCGTGACGCACAGCACGTCCAAAGAGGTCCAGAACTCGCACCAGAAGTTCCCAAACTTCCACATCTCCATGATGATGTGGCAGGCGCCGAAGGGCACCACGGCCAGCCCCATGACCAGGTCGGCGCAGGCCAGCGAGGTGATGAAGTAGTTGGTGACGGTCTGCAGGCGCTGGAAGCGGGCGATGGCCGTGATCACCAGCACGTTGCCGAAGACGATGGCCAGCACGATCACCGACATCAGGATTCCCATGCCCACCATCCACACGTCCCGGGACACCGTGGGGTCGGCGGCGCTCTGGTTGGCGCTGGCGTTGCCGCCGGGCAGCTCCGTCCCCGCCGCGGCCATGGCCCGGCGACAGCCCCGGCCGGGGCTCGGCTCAGCTCAAGGCTCGGCAGCCGCGGCGCCGCTCCGGGAGCCGCGCATACGGGACAGGTGCGGGGCGGGTGCGGGGCCGCTCCGCTGGGGCAGCTGGCACCGCTCCGCTCCCGTCCCGTCCCGTCCCGGCAGTGTCCCGGCAGTGCCCCAGCCCGTGTCCCAGCCCGTGTCCCAGCCCGTGTCCCAGCCCGTGTCCCAGCCCGTTAGGCGCCGCGGAGCTTTTAAGTGACAGCAGCCCGTGACATCAGCCGGCCGCAGCCAATGGCAGCCGGCACCGCACCCGGAGCCCCCCCGCACCCCGCGGCCACCCCCGCCTGCCCCACGCGCGTCCCCGCCCCGTGCGCTGCATCCCTGCACCGTGTCCTGCATCCCCGTCGTGTTCCCGCACCGTGCGCTGCATCCCTGCGCCGTGTCCTGCATCCCCGCCGTGTGCTGCATCCCTGCACCGTGTCCTGCATCCCCGCCGTGTGCTGCATCCCTGCACCGTGTCCTGCATCCCCGCCGTGTTCCCGCCCCGTGCGCTGCATCCCTGCACCGTGTCCTGCATCCCCGTCGTGTTCCCGCACCGTGCGCTGCATCCCTGCGCCGTGTCCTGCATCCCCGTCGTGTTCCCGCACCGTGTGCTGCATCCCTGCGCCGTGTCCTGCATCCCCGCCGTGTGCTGCATCCCTGCACCGTGTCCTGCATCCCCGCCGTGTGCTGCATCCCTGCACCGTGTCTCGCATCCCCGTACTCGCGGTGTTCTCTTGTCCCACGCCCCACTTGTCCCTGCGCCTCCTGCCCGCGGTGCCACACGTGCTCTCCTTGTGCCATCAATGTCCCTGCCCGGAGGTGTCCCCACCCCACCCATGCCCCCGCCGTGTGCTCCCTGCGTGTCACCAGAGCCAGGAAAATCCCGAGGGCTCTGGGGCTCCTGGTGGTGGAGAACCCCTGGCACCCCGTGGTCGTTGGTGACACCTCGTGACAGGATGTCATCCAGCTCCCTCGGTCCCCAGCTCAGTTTTGTGGGGTGAATCCAAGGGAAGCAGCCACAGAAATCCCAGAGCTGGTCAAGGGGAGACACCCCTTAAGTGTCCTGGGAGCACTGACCAGGCAGGGAGTGACCACTGGACACTTTGGCTGGCCACGCTGCAGGCAGGCATGTGGTCAGAGCCAGACACTGTCACGAGCATTTCCCTCCAAAACAAACAAATTCGCTAAGTAAGGGCTAAGGAATCCCGAAAACTTCCTTTTAGCCTGACAGGAGATAACGCTGCCTCTGGAGTTTCATTTCTGCCATCCCTCTGAATCAACGCTGCTCTCCAAGAGACACATCTCACTCTGCTGGCCCTGGGTGCTTTCAGAGCTGAAAGCTGTGGTTCTTAAACTGCCCTGTAGCACAGAAAAGGAGAAAATAAAGAATTGTTTTGGCCAAATTACCCCAATGGCACCAGCAGCAGCTGCAGGTCAGTCCCTGGATGATGGATCCCTGATGGATGCAGCTCTGTGGTCCTCCCATGGCACAGGCAGTGCCAGACTCTGCCTTTTTCAGCAATTAAACACTTAGCAAATCTTATTTGTAACTCATCAGCTCTTGGGCTCTGATGAGTTTTCATGATTCTGCCTCATTTTTCCAGCAGTACTGGGGTGCCAGGACAGGCTCCCCACTGTCCCCTCTGTCCCCACACCACAGCTGGCTGTCCATGTCATGCCTCGGCTGTGCTGGGGGTATTTATAGAGAAGGGAGGAAGTTCTGTGGTTTAAACCAGAGGGGCAGATGAGGTACTGGAATCAGGAAATGAGATTAAAGGCAGTTTCAGGGCTATGAAGTGTCCATCTCAGCAGGGACCCCCCTGCTCGCTCTTCCCACACTTCAGAGTTTGGAAAAGTGAACAGACAAGGAACAGGAGCTCCAGAAGTCACCCCACTGCAGACATCTGGGAATGCAGGGGCGCTGGGAGGAGCTAATGACCTCAGCTAATGACCTGGAGCTTCCCCTGCCCCTAAGATAAAGAAGATAAACGGGGCCATCACTCCCTCCACACACACCCGGGCAGAGCTGGGACCTGCAGGGTTCGGTTTGTGCCACCGAGGCTCTCACAGACCTCAGCCTGGCAGGGCTGTGGCTCACCGGGGCTCAGGGAACACAGGCTGGGTGCAATATCCATTCCCACCCTCTGCCCCAGGCCAGCAGCGCTCACCTGGCAGGGAAAACACAGCCAAAACCCCCTGGAAAAGCAGGGATGCAGGGGAGATGCAGCACTGAGAGTGAGGAGCACAAGCAGAAGGAAAAGCAGAAATTTGGGGAGCTACACCTCATCCTCAGCTCCCCGTTCCCCCTTTTTTTGTAAGAGCTGATGTGACTGGGAAGCACTCGAGGTGTCAGGCAGTGACCAGGTGAGTTTGCTGGGCTGTTTCTGAGTATTCTGACACCAAACCAAACAAATTTAGTCCCCTATCCTAATAAACATATGGATATTGATCCTCCAGATGTTCAGCCCTGCAGGCAGCACGGGGCCCTGGCGGGAGCAGAAGCAGAAGCAGATTTGGGGATGTGAGAGAGACAAAAGCCAGTTCTCTGCTTTGCAACAAGTGTTTTATCCAAGGCATCCCTGTCTCTGGCAACCCCTCTCCAGAGGACTCTGTAAATCTGTGGCTCAGGGTGCAGGGATCAGCCAGCCCAGTTTTTACAGCTCGATATTTTGCCTTTGTTGTCCTCTGTTCAAAGAAATTTCAGCCTGGGCTTTGGTTACGAGGCTGAGCCGGAGGAAGCAGGGCAAGGCTGATTTTTGTTCCTTGATTTTCTCCCTCGATTTCCTCTTTGGCAATCTTTGCTCATATTTTAGGTGTGGCAGGGTGGGCCCAGGGCTTGAGATGATTTTTGTCTTTGACTACACAGCCGTGGCCCTCAGTGAGTTGGACAAGTGACCACAGGTTCAAAAATAACAGGCAGGAATTTGCCTCACATAAAAATAAATTCCATTACCCCAAGTCTCACTGGCTTTTGAGATCTGCACGACTTTACCTGTGCTTTTGAGTAATTATTAGATTTCCATCAGGTTTGAGGCTTCATATTGGAGCAAATACAACATCAAACCTCTGAGATGTTATGAACACAGTTCAGTTTGAATTTTTTTGGAGGGGGGAGAGCCCCAAAATGGCTCTTTCTGGGCTCCTTGGACTTGCAGGGTATCAAAACCAGACAGATCTCATTTGTTTCATGGCCCTGGTGCTTTGTCATCACGCTGATCTTTTCCCTTTTCATAATTGGATGTGTGCTCCCTCCTCACTGAGTGACATTTGAAGAGCAGACTGTGGGATCAATGAGAAAGCAGGGCTGGGAGAGAGAAATAATCACTTTTATCAGCCCAGCTGACATAATTGGAATAAACAGCCGGGCTTTTGGGCATGGAAGACTTTCCTGAGGACTGTGAGGAGCGGGATGCTGGCCTGCCCAGATGTTTATCACACTCTGGAATTAGGCAGCCTGGCCAGATCAGGCTCTTGGTGAGAGCTTGGAAGTGACAATCCTCAACAAAAACAGCGTTTGGAGGCAGAGGAATTTGTGCAATTGCTCTGAATGTGGGGAAGCTGCGGGGAGGGCGTGAGGAGACAGCAGCAGGATGCAGAGAGCAGGGAGGGATCGCTCCTTGCAGGCTGGGAGGCTGCAGAAGGGGAATTTGTCACACATGGCAGGATTTTGAGTGGCTTCTGCCCCATCACCCCCACCCAGCAGCTCGGAGGGGACACAGCCAGGTGCAGTGGGGTCACCTTAACGCAGCCACAAATTCCCAGGAGCCTGGGCTGGAGCTGAACACTCATGGTGCGAGGCCAAGGCTGATTCCAAAACAAATGCACCAAATCTTGCCTGAATTTTAGGTTCCTTCTTGTTTAAAACCTTTTCCCTGCCTTTCTCCCAGGATCTCGAGCTGCTCAGACAATTCTTAGTATCATTAAGCAGGAGGTAAATTATGTGGCACCTGCACTGGTGTAAAGCTCTGGCTCCCATAAATAGCGGCCATGGATACAGGAGATATTCCATGGGAACAACACAGGGAGCTCTGCCCTCTCCACCTCTCCCTCCAGGAGGGTCTGCTGTGCCCCCAGGGTGAGTCCTGGAGCTGAGGACACACGTCCCAGTGTGCAGGGAGGACAGACCTCCACCTCACTCCTAATTTTAGAAGGCTCCTCCATGAGCTGATAGGAAAAGGAACTCCGGGTGCTGGAATATGTGCGGAGTCCAAGAGGAAATTTGGTTTTTCCTGAGAGCTTTCTTATCAAATCTGCCTTTGTATCAAACCCAAAATAGCTGAGTGGCTGCTGAGCTTAGCCTCAGCTCCAGGGGGGTGGATTGAGGAGGAATTGCTGTAGGGATATTCTTCATCTGGGACAAACCCAAGAGGGTTTAATTTGGTTTAATCACTTTTTCCTCCTGGATCCCATGGACCTTTGCAGTCATTGTGCCCACGATTTTCTGTTTTCCCTCAATGAAACACAATCAACAATTCCTTATTTCTCCAGGCATACTAAGAGGATGTTCACTGGTGTCTGTCTGTTCTTTTGGAGCAACTTCACAAGATAAAAACTTTGGGTTTCTCTGTGGCTGCAGGATAAAGGGTCCCTAAAAACCTTGCTGGAAAAAGAAAATAACTGTTCCAAAGTGGCTTAGGTTAATTGCTGGAATTCTTTGTAAAGCCCCAGCCTGGCTGTACTGTGGGTTTTACACAGACACTGGACAGTTCCAGTGGGAATCATCCCGGGAATTTTGCTCTGAGTGTGGAAGTGAATGGATGCCCTAAAAAAAAGTCACCGGCTGAGTTCTGCAAGATTTGGGGACCAGAGGATCCTTAAAAAGTGACTGAGTTTGAGAAAAACCATCAGACTGAGAATCCTGGACACAGCCACCCCCAGACCATGCAAAGACAGTTGTTTAATTGGCTGCCATCAACTAATTTGCTTAACTGGGGGCTGAGTCTGGTGACAAGAAGGGTGGGAA